ATCCAAGGTTTGATCTGTGAGGTGGGGTGCATTCAAATATCATATATAGATTGAGGGATATATTGAGGAATTCTTCAAATAATTTTATTTGAGGAGCATCTTTTAAGGTCTCCTATAAATAAATAAAATCCAACGATCCAAACAATCTATTTTTTAAGTATACATTCATATATCATCCTTGCAAAAAATTAGATAAATTGGAAACCGTTTCAACATCCAATTGTGTCCTACAAAATCAATAAACACGGTGCTTCAAGAAAGCATTAAAATTTCAATAATTCAATTAGGTGGCCAAATGATATCGGATTCAAGTAATTTTTTGTAGAGATGATCTTTGAATGAATATCTACGAAATAGACGTTTGGATTAGAGAAATACAATATAGAGTGAGCCTTACAAGGATGTCCTTTAAATAAACTTATTTAAGGAATCCCTCAACTAAAGCTATATATATCAAATATTGGAGGCAAATCAGATGAAAGGCAACTTTAGGCTAAAATATTAAGCAGGCCTAATCTGGGGAAGCTTCATTTGACTATTCGGGGGTTTCATTGGAGGGTAACAGATGTGCGCATAAGCTTGCAAAACGGGACCATAATCCTAATACTTAATAGATTTCTTTATTTATTTTTTGTCTCTAGTTAGTTAATTAATTTAATGTAATGAAAGTGCTCTAATAAGCAGCATTTAAACTTAAAGGTAAAGCCACTGATTTTGAACCTTTTACTCCAAAATGATTTTGATTTCATTTTATTATAATGCATGCCCTTATCCACACCTAGCCACCAGTCCATGCATATCCTGACTCCAAAATTTGATGTTAAACATTTTTTTTTCTTTTTTGAGTTAAAGAAAACCTAAGATTTGAATTTAATTTTGTTATGTAACCAAGGATGAAAGAGTAGTAGAGAAAAACTGAATTGCAAAAGATAGAGTTCCATTATCATAATTTATTTCTTTTATTTTCATTAGAGTAAACCTCGACTTTTATTTTCATTAGAGTAAACCTCGACGGCATGAGTGAAAATTTTATTTAACTAAGCAAACTAATACAACTCGGGGATGTAAAACCTAACCCCGATTCAATAAATCTTCCAAAAGAGCGTCCCGCACAAACGAAGGGGCACCTCTGACCAAGACAAACTATTATCTATATTCAAAGTATGTTGTGCTACATACCCTATGAGTAACTTCATTCGCTTCTCGAAAAGTACGTATATGAACTTATTGTTTGCTGGAAATCTTTTTGCCAGAGTCTTCTATTTATGGGTTCACATAATAGGAGATCGAATACCATCATTTAAAAAATATATAAAGCATTAATCAAAAATATTAATTTAGTGTATATATGTTAGATAAAACTCAAAGAATGAACTCATAAAAGGTATGGTGGTCATCCACAATAAACGCATTTACAACAATTTTCTCTCGTTTATAGGGTAGGGGCCAAGGGACAACCAAGAAAATGTAAAAGCCGTATGAATGTTTCCTCCTTTAGACTTAGAGATAGCAGAGGCAGGGCAGGCCAACATGATAAATACCTAGCAAAGATGACTGAGATGCCATGACAGCATGATAGGATAGGATAAGAACACTTTTCCCCCTCCTTCGATCCAAGGACCCCATGGCCTTAGAAATTTACAGATAATCTCTAAAGTAAATAAAAGAGCCATAAATGATACTGATTTCTATTAAATATGTGGACTAAGAACTTGATTTTTAGGGTTAGGCCTCGTCTCCATGTTCTTGAAAGATGTTCAGGAGCTCACATCCTACTTCTTCAAACATGAAAGATCTTTAAAATATGTGCTACTTGGTAAAAAGTTCATGTTCTGCCAATTAATTACTTTGGTTTCATAGAAAAAAGGTTATAGTTAATATGTGCAAAATTAGATACTAATTGACCCGACCACTCTATTTTAAGGAGAAAAATTTACATTCATCGGATGCATATGCGAAGAGAGAGATAAGAAAAGAAGAGTATGTACACGGTTTATGCAAGTTTTTTCTTTGTCCGACAGGTTCATAATCATGAATAGTAACACACGCAAACAAAAAGGCAAGAACAAGTGATGTGGCAGCACCATGGCCTAAGAGAGTAGAAGTTGGTGAAACCAGCAATGTGAGAGGAGATGAGATACATATATATTCCGTTCCAAATTCAAATAGTAGTATGAATAGTGTGTGCAGTTCTGTGGAGGAATGATATGATGTCATAAGGTCCCCGCAGGAGGGCACGGGGACTATTTAGAAATAGAGAAGTGCTCCAAAAAAGCTGAAATTTTCAGCACTTTTTTTCCCCTTTATTATCCACCTTTTGGCCAAATAATAAAGTGTCTCCCTCTCTACCCCCTTTCTCAAACTATTGCACGTCACAATTAAAGTGCCCTTCAAAAAAATGATGTTCTCTTTGCTCAATTATACTATGCATTCTCATTAAAAATGAAACTTTTATATTTATTTTTTTCAGTTTGGGTTTTAAGGTACTCGGATTTTCAAGGACGGTAGAGCACAACTACTCCCATCTTTTTTATTATGATTCCATACTAAATCCACCATTAAAGCACATTATAAACATAACAATGAGCAAACTCGTATAATTGTATTCGAACTCTTATTACATAGAACCTCGGTTGTAAAGAAGAGGAATTTCTAGCTTTAAAAAAGATGTGTTTGATAAACTATGTCTAAATGGTTAAAGGAGGGATTCATGTATTTGGTGGCTCAAAACAAAATAAAATTAGAATCGGATTGAATTGAATTATTTTAGACTTAGTAAGTTAAAAAAGTGAAATAAATATAAAATGAAAAAAGAAAGGGAGGGTTTGAGCAGGAATGATTGACCAGAGGCGACTTTTTTATCCCAATAAAATGCAAGATTCGATGTGGCAGGATTGACCGATCTGCAGAAATTTGGAACCCTCCTCACGTGCGATTCCCCTTTGACAAATCACAAATGCACACTCTCTCACACATTCATTCACTTAATCAAATCACCTTGACACTTGTGCCCCCTATACTTATTTTCTTTTCTTTTCCTTTTATTCGCCATTTTAAATAATCAATCACTTATTTTCTCTTTCTACCTCATCCATCTAAAAATGAAAATTTGCCGTAAATTTAATCCAAGAATATTTATGCTAGTACAGAATAACTCAGTTGGTTCAACGTTTTCACCTTTATTCACGTGGACAAAAGTTCAAAATTCCGAGGCACCCAATAAACATTTGTATAAACCTTTTTTCCTAATTGCTTGTACTCCAAAAATATCCAAGTTCATATATCCAGCGAATTCACACAATTTAACATCAAAGACTAGAACTTAAATTTTATAACTTCATTATAGTTTTGGGAAGGAATCAGTTTTCTTCCTATTACATACTAGTCTTGCTAAATATCCCAAAAAGTTTATAAACATCTGCCATGGTAACTTTATATATAAAAAATTCTATTTTTTACGTTTATTTTAGTTATAAAGAATCGACGAAAATACCCTTAAACTTAACGAAATTAGGCATAGGTGGTGAATTGCAATACTTTACAAAGCTGTCATCAATTTCTTAAAACAAACCCAAAATACTCAATAGGGTATCAAAGTAATTTAATAATCAAAATTAAATTCAATAGGGCCAGCTGTCATTTTTGGGGGTTTTTTTTATTTATTTATAGATTTTAAATGATGTAGGGTTTATCTATATTATTAGTGCTAAGAATGGATATATGACTAAATATCTCTAAAAGTAAAAATTAAAAGGTCATATGGTATTTATACAAATTTAATAAATTGTTATTATAAAAACCTAAGACTAGTATTTATTTCTTATTTTATGGTCTTTAGATGGGCGAGGCTATCCTCATCCTTACTTCATAATAAGTCCACAACTCTCTTGGACCCAAAAAAAATTGTTTACCAACCATCCCACGAGGATGTAACCTGTTTTTATTCGAGGCTGATTATTGCTTAATTATTTTTCATTAGCCAATAGCATATGCCCATGCGCTGCCTGGCCATATTCACATTAGGATATAAGAAAAGCTTTATTCAATGATTCCAGCACAAATTGTTTTGAAAAAACAAAACCCTACGGAATTTTTTATATTATTCTTCTCTTGTATTAGATTAACTTCAACTTCACGTGGTATGTGGAATTGGGGAGAACACAATTTGGGATTTTGAAGAAAAGTTTTAAGTTTGTCCTTTAACATTTTTTTAGAACGATAATATATTAAACTCACACATACTAATGTTATGATTCAAATTCAAGATCTTGCTGAGGAATAATTGCTCCGAACTATTACATTAGCGGGTTCTTTGCGCCCTTTAACATTCTCTTAATGAAAACAAAAGAATCTTTTGGAAATTAGTAAAAGATTTTTGAAAGGAAAGGGGTAAAAAATTAGAAGTAGATGATTTGGTACATTATTGCTAGATCTTTAATTTAATAGTTTGGATGCTATTAGGAAAGTTGTAGTAAATGATTTGGTGCATTATTGCTAGATTCTTTTCGTTTACAATCAAAACCCTCACCTCCCAAAGAAAGAAAAAAAACCCCACTAAAAATCCCGATCTTTAAAGAAATAATAATGTTTAGAAATAAAAACAAAAAGTTAATTAGATGGATTAGGACCACAAATAAAAAATCACCAAGTTAACCTAATCATGCAAAATTAAATTTAAACCAATTAATCCGATCTATCAATCACTGACAAATATATAATCCTCTCCCCCTCCCTCCCTTTCCCTAAACCTCAATCCATATCCTCCACCCAAACCAAACCTCTCTCTCTCTGTATGTATTTAATGCAAAGCGGCTACTTCAGGCACAGTGAATAACCAAACCAAAACGTACGTGCTCTCTCTCTCTCTCTCTCTCTCTCTCTCTCTCTCTCTCTCTCTCTCTCTCTCTCTCTCTCTCTCTCTCTCTGTTTTTCTGTGTTATAGTCAACGCGGTCAAACATCACTTCACACTATCGGTCCCGGTGAACAACAGGCAAAAAAAATGCTCGAGACCGTGAAGTACCTGCTCGGATCGGCCGGCGCGAGCGGCTATGGCTCAAGGAGCACAGCCGAGCAAGTCACCGAGAGCTCTCCCGATCTGCGCCACATCACCGCCATCATCACAGGTACGCAAGTGTGCTTAATAACCACCGTCCGATTAAGGTGATTTGCTTTTCATTTTGATGATCAGCTTCTGATTTTGACGACCGTGTGGTTTTTTTCGAATTCATCAGGTGCTACTTCAGGGATCGGCGCCGAGACGGCTCGTGTTTTAGCTAAGCGCGGGGCCAGGCTGGTCCTCCCTGCTCGGAGCCTCAAAGCGGCCGAGGACGCCAAGGCTCGGATCGTCTCGGAGTTTCCCGACTCGGAGATCATCATCATGGCGCTTGATCTTAGCTCTCTCACTTCTGTCAGGAACTTCGTCTCCGAGTTCGAGTCCCTTCAGCTGCCTCTTAATCTGCTCATGTAACTCTCTCTATATCTCTCTCTCTTGTTGTTTTCTGTTTGGCTGCCGAGAAAATGCGGGAAACGAAAAGAAAATTAGCCAACTAAAAAGTTTCTTTTTGGTTTGTTTGTGTCAGAAACAACGCCGGAAAGTTCGCGCACGAGCACGCGATTTCCGAAGACGGAATCGAAATGACCTTTGCGACTAATTATCTAGGTTATTAGTACTAACACTCCGACTAATACTTAATTTTTTGTTTTTTGTTTTTTGTTTTTTGTTTTTTCGTTTTTCGTTTTTCCTTTTTTTGACAGAATATTTATTAAAAAATTTCAGGTCATTTTCTGTTGACGAAGCTGCTGCTCAACAAAATGATCGGAACGGCGGAGGCTACTGGCGTTCAAGGCCGAATCGTGAACGTCTCGTCGGCGGTTCACGGCTGGTTTTCAGGCGATGCCATCCGATATCTCGGCGAGATAAGCCGAAGTGGAAGGTGAGCGAGTTAAAAGAATCGGGAACTGTAGCCGATTATTTATGGTGCATTTAGTGATAAGTGAGCAAGAAAAAAAAATGACGCGGTACCAAACTAAAATTCGTAATTTTATATTCAAAAAAATCACTAATTAATTGATCTTATTCTCGTTCCTTCATTTATTTAATTTTTATTTTTTTGAATTATTAAATAATATATGTGAATTAAGTGAGTTGATCAAGATAGTTTGTCCGTCATTTTATACATGAATTCCATTCACTTTTCATATAAAAGAATAATTTGAAATATTGCGTTACAAAATAAATTTAAAAAAATTTCCCATTCAATATGTGATTATTTGGATTCATTTTTTTAAAAAATTTTAATTAATTTGTCTTTGAGAGTTCGACATTTGTTTATTTGTATTGAAATTTTTGGTGTGGGTGGTTAACAGCGATTACGACGAGACACGTGCGTATGCGCTCTCGAAGCTGGCCAACGTCTTGCACACCAAGGAACTCGCTCGCAGACTCAAGGTTCGCATGATCATTATTAAAGACAAACACACACACGCTGCCTGATGATTATCGATATAAATAAATAATTTATTATAAGTATTAAAAGGTGGCTTTTGTTTGTTTTCTTAAATGATTATCGTTGCTAATTTCTTTGTTGTTTTGTTTTTACTAAAATCATCAGGAAATGGACGCCAACGTGACCGTTAACTGTGTCCATCCAGGAATCGTTAGGACCCGCCTCACCCGAGAACGTGAAGGCCTTGCCACAGGTTTCGTTTTTATTTCTACAAATTTATTAAATTTAAATAATTTTTTGTGTTTGCTGAATTAAATGAGTTCTGAATATGTAGATTTGGCGTTCCTCATGGCTTCCAAGCTATTGAAAACAATACCCCAGGTTATATTTGTTAGCGTAATCCTTCCTTGTAAAAAAAATGTTCAATATATTTATAAGTATTACATTGTACTGAGTTTAGTTTGTTGTGGAAGGCTGCGGCGACGACATGTTATGCCGCGACACACCCAAGGCTGGCGGACGTGTCCGGGAAGTACTTCGCGGACTGCAACGAAACCTCGCCGTCGAAATTGGGGTCTAACCTAAGCGAAGCTGCTCGGTTATGGTCGGCCTCTGAAATCATGGTGTCCAAATCCTCCAATGCGATTTTTGATCCGAGCAGCCAATTGGAGTACTAAAAGAGTAGAAAACTGGACATCATCATCAACTATATATTATAGATATATAAATATCAAGAGAAAAAGAAAAGCATCTTAATCATATGACTAGTTACTGCTTAATGTATGTTTAATTAGTAGCTAAATACAGTGGTAGGAAGGAAGAAGGAACATCGTCCTAAAATTATATATATATATATATATATATATAATTGTACACAGCTTTGAACATGTATAGTACTAGTTTTAGTAGTACGATAGTGGTATGGATTATATATAATTAATTAGATAAAGGAAGGCTTTTGATGTATGAATATATTTATGTGAAGAATGGTTTTCTTAGTTGGTACCAAGTCATGACCAGATTGGATTTGGTGTGTGTATATATATATAATGACACAAAGGTATAATATTATCGAATTAATTAGAGTTTCTGCTGTGGACTTTGGTTGGAGATGAAAGTGTTTGGAACCCTAGTTTGTGTATATTTGTTGAATAGTATATGTTGGTTTTTCTTTAAGCAAAATATGTCTGTTCTTTTGCGAAAACGGGTCTAACCCGGGCAGAAAAGAGTCTTGATTTGCAGAGTAGAAGTCTTAGATTTAAAGAATAAGAGGACATTAAGAACATGGGGTCAGTTTGTTGCATGTGGTGGTTGAATTTTGAAGAGTATCTTTGGGGCTACAGTTTGGGGCCCTACTACTAACATGCGTGGTGGTCACCGATCGATGCATGCGTTCAAGGAAAGGAAGTTCAACTTCTCGATCAAAACCCCTTTTTAAAATCACCAGCTTTCCCTCTTTTTAATTAAATAAATTTCATATTATTTTGAAGGCAGAATTCAATTCAAAACTAAACACAAAGAAGAAAGGAAGAGAAAAAAAATGAAGATGGGGATTTGACAGAGGTGGGAGGGAAGAAAGACAGAAGGGCTCTGTCAAATGGTTAGGGCAAACAAAAGAAAAGTACAAAGCATTAAAGGCAGTCACAGAAACCCTAGTTTGTTGCGAAGGACTCTTTGATGCTTCCTGTTAGAGTTATCCGTCTACGCACGAATTCTCGAAGACCAAAGCCAAATGTGGCATGTAGACTAACACGAAGACAAAGCAGTTATGTTGTCTGAGGCTTTGTCTCCCCACCCACAATAAATAACATCTGCCATTGCCTAACATTTCTCAGGTTGATTATTGCTGTCATTAATTCATGACCACCTTAGCTTAAACACAGCTCAGCTGATGATCTTTTGGTTAGCAAAAACAATAACTACAAGTTACCATTTACCAAGCTCCTTTTTACGGTGGTCAAAGGATTATAACTCGACCAAGAGACATAAATTGTGTGTTGTGAGTCAAAAGCTAACTAGCTTTGCCGACAGACAAAGTGAATGCTCGTTTACCCTGTTGCCTATGCTTTGACTATTGATGAGGATAATGTTGTACCATGATGATGCTATGTCGGATTATAATTTTAAAAAAATAAAAATATTAGCAATATGGATGGTATTAGTTAATGTTTTATATAAATCCTAAATAGAGGTTCTATATAGGAAGGTAATGTTGTTATTACCCTATTCCGTTCCCCTTGATCTCAAGAAAAATATTGATTTCAGAGGATAGATAAGGATTCGATCCAAAAGAAATTATGAGTTAGAGAAAATGCAAGGCTGTTGGGCCAATGTATGTATTTCCTACAAAGTTTTTTAGTATTATTATAGTTACACATTTCAAACAACATCCTTATTAAGTAGAGATTCTTATATGCAACTGTTGTATACGATAACATACTCACACAAGAAGGATCATTGAGGAGGCGAGTGGGACAAAAATACAGGGGGTTCTTGCTTTTGTGACTGCGGCCGAGACAATGCACATGATACGACAGGCAAATGCTAGAATTTCTCCTTAGGCCATCTTCAACAATGGGTTAAATTCTCAAATTTAGCCCTTTCACACCCCAAACCCATCTCCAACAAGTGGGCTAAATGTGCCATGTCATTGAGTCAAATCCAATCAGCGGGCTAAAAGGGCCAAATGTGGCATACTTCTTGGGTGGGCTATATCTTATTTTATTATTTCTTGGGTGGGCCAGTTGTTGTTTTTAAATTAATGTATTGTTATTGTTTTTAAATTAATGTTTTAGTTTCTTGGGTGGGCTGTTGTTGTTTTTAAATTAATCATATCATATCCGAAAAATATTTTTCTTTTCTAAAATCTTATTTGTGGATGTCAAAAAATTTATCCAAAAATATTTTTCTCTTCTAAAATAAATTTTAAATAGGGTCTAAAATAGTACTTTAATTAAATTATTCAATATATTTAAAGAATATACTAAAAACTAATAAAATATTGAGGAGGCTATGATTTAGCTATGCACTGCTGGAGACGATAAAAAATATAGCCCAACACTATTTCTTAAAAAAACTATAAATAATGTGTGGGCTATGTTTAGCCCTTCACTACTATAGGCGGCCTTATTAAGCTCAACTTTTGTGGGTTTTGTTAATTTCCTTAATATTAAAAATAAGATAATTAAAAAATAAAATAAAAAACCTCGAAGTTCACTACAAAAGCCAAGCCCAATATACTTGTACGGCTCATATATTCACACCCACATACAAGCCCAATAAAAAGCCCAAAAGGCTAAAACCCTGAAGTCCCATAAACCTCTGAAGACAACTTAACAAAACCCAACCATCTCGTCTTCCTCACTCACAGACGGGGCACAACTCAACCAGATCCTCACCCCTACCGAAAATGGCGACCACCCTGCTCCCCGAGACTGCCCAAAAGGTCCTAACCCAAGAAACTCTCCGCTCCGCTGCCAAACAGTCCCAGCGCTGCCTCACAACCCCAGTCCGTCTCCGTCGAGCCATTAAAAAATACCTCAAAGGTCTTCACTCTCTCCCTCTATCTGGTTTTATGTATCTATATGTGTAAATGATGCAATTCAATTAATGGGGTTTTGGGATTTTAGAGCAGGAGGAGCCCCACATGAAGAGGAAGGTGCTGAGGCTATCGGAATCTTTCAGCCAAATTAAGGATGTGAATTCGCAGCTTGTTACAGCGACTTCACAACAGCTCGTTGAGGACCCTTTGCAGTCTGTGGACCAATCCCAGAGGTGGAAGATCAAGAGCTCTTATGGAGACATCGGCCTCACCTACAGAGACGACGAGACCATTGCTTATGTTGCTTCTAGAATGCCTGCTGTGTTTTCTGCTTGTCACAGAGTACTCAAGGAGGTATGAATTAATGAAATTTGTAATATGGGTTGTTGTATAAATTTGAATGACGAGTATTGGAGCTGAGAAAATGGTGGAAAGCAGAGAAAGTTATCTTCTTCTTCTTTATAGAAATGAGGTGCTTAGCTTGGATTTGTTATGTTATTGTTCCCTTTGAATGTGGATTGGTGCAAGTAGATTTGTAATTGTTCTGAAGTTTCGTTTTCTTATGTGTTCTGTTGTTTTACAGGTTCGTAGAAGATTGCCTGAGTTTTCTCCTGCTAGAGTGTTGGATTTTGGTGCTGGCACGGGTTCAGCTTTCTGGTGAAAAACTCATTTGGTTATCTTTTGATTGTTAATCACGTAAGACTGTAGTTTGGTTGTAATGTGAATTCAATGCTATAGGGCACTACGTGAAGTCTGGCCACATTCCTTGGAGAAAGTTAATCTAGTGGAGCCATCACAATCAATGCAGCGTGCAGGGCAGAAGCTTATACAAGGTTCTTAATGATTTTTCAGTTCGAACTAGTTAATTGATATGTTTTCAAGATTATTTGTAGATTAATTTGTATAGATAACTGGTTGAATTGCAGTTCTTAAAGCACCAGTCTACTAACCTTTGGCTATCCGTATTGCAATTGTTCATGCATTATCAACAAGTGTCTATAGATCAGAAAAAACTCTGACCACTTTTGTCATGGTTATTTTAGGTCAGAAGGACTTGCCACTTATTCATAGTTATGATAGCATCCAATCATTGACCAAAAGCATCAAAAAGTCAGACAGAGAGCACGACCTAGTAATTGCTGTAAGTTAGGCAAATTATACACTTACACATTATTTTTGCCTTGGCATGGTTGGTTGGTACATATAATAACTGTTGTTTGTTGCAATGGGGTGAAGTCCTATGTTCTTGGAGAGATACCGTCGCTCAAGGATCGAATTACTGTAGTACGCCAGCTTTGGGATCTGACACAAGATGTCCTGGTATGCTTTTTTATTTTATTTTATGTGGATGAGTTTCATGCTTCACTATGAGTTCATGATATATTTGTGATGATCCTATGTTCTGGTTTATGCCATTAACTAGGGGACAAGTATTATATGTTTTGGCAAATGATTTTGGAATACATGGGCAAAAGAAAAAATTACTTGTAATTCACTTGCTATTTTATAATAGTTTTTGTGGAATTTTCAGTTTGGACCTTCCAAATGTTTAGCCTAATATATTTACCCTTTGATTTCCTAACATTTTATAGGTTTTGATTGAACCTGGAACACCACAAGGATCTAATATCATATCTCAGATGCGTTCACATATATTGTGGATGGAAAAAAGGGTAAGTTGTTTTCTTACTTGTTACTTGCTCCTTGATGTGGCTTTTGAGTTAGGATGCTTGTTCAATTCCTGTACTGGGAATTTTTTGTGTCTGCAAAATAATGTATAATGACACACTCATTACTTCTTAGAAATGCCGTAAATCTAAAGATGGAGCTGATGAAACTACCAAGGACTTGGTCACTCAAAAGAGTGGTGCATTTATAGTTGCTCCGGTGAGTATAATTGCTCTCTAGCCCATATTTTTCTGGTGTCAAAATTAATATGTTGCCCAGCTTCTCCATTTTTTTCCTTTGAAATTGTTAATTCTCTCATTTTATTTTATAGTTCTCTTGATGCAGTGTTCTCATGATGGACAATGTCCGCTGGAGAAAGCTGGAAAGTATTGTCATTTTGTTCAGCGCTTGGAGAGGACATCTATTCAGCGTATATTCAAGGTTCTTCCTTGCATCAATTTCCTACTC